ACAGTTCTGCCACCAAACTTGCTTTTTAGCCATAATTTGTAGAGTTTGGTTGTACAAAGGTGTCAGATACTCGATTAGAAAGGGTGATGATTGAGCCCAAACTGTCAAACAAGGAAGAAATATCATAGATTACCTAATAACTGAGCAGGTGTGTGGTGTCGAATTAACTTAAATTTAGATTTGTTTTAAAGTTAGTCCTAATGTGGGGCTGTGTTTGTGTGGGTCGGTATGGGACATGTCAGTGACATTGGTGTGTAGTCTGACAGTTTCATGTATGTTTATGTTTATTTATATTTATACATTTAATTACAGCAGCAGTGTTGGCCAATATAGCTTAAAACTGTGCAGGTTACTAGATTAGGACCTTTTGTTTATTATAAGCACACATACGCACATATCGTTTCATGCCATAGTTTCTCCTTTGCAAAACTGAAAAATAATTTTGTTTCTTCAGAATATACTGACACTTCATTCAAATTCTGTAACACTTGTAGCTTTTTTTTTACTTGTAACTTTTCCTGCTTGACCTTCTGTGGCATGGCTTGGGTAAAAACTATATTGTAGAAAACTGCAGACTGCAAACTGTGAGGTACTGAGTCAAGATGTAGGACGGGAGAGCAAAGAATCAAAACGCCGTGTAGTCCCACATAAGAGAGACATCTGATCAGGATACAGGCAGAGCAGGATTCATTCTTCCGAACAGTAAAATGAAAAAACCCACACTGGAAACTTGATTTAGTTTGTCAGCAGGTGTAAGTGATTAATACATGAAAACTGCTCTTAGGTCAGAGGGAATGTAATGAAATGGCCAAAGCTAACATGAAAGTCTCCACATATAGTGGAAAAATCAGTTCCATTACTTTGAAAATCCTGAATCCGGAAGTCACCGCTAAAGCCGCTAGCTTAGCGCTGGTGTACTTTTCGTTTCACAGGGAGGAGTCAGACATTAGTTTCTTTATCAAAGTGACATGTTCGTGACGTTATTACTAATTCTACGACATGTATCGCACCGTGTGTCCATAATGTAGCCCGTCTGCGGTGTCGACATAAAGCTATCGATCAGCGACCAGATATTTCTCGATAAAAGGTCGAAGGAAACAGGAAGGCGGAACAAGTAAGTTCGGGAAAGTGGCTTTGAACTGTATCGTTTCGTCACCCTGCGAAGAGCCGCCCGAGTTAACTGCTGCCCTTAGGCGGCTTTTCCCCTCGTTTACGATAGCGTGTGAAGGATCCGGGTTTGTCGT